CTTGCTGTGTCCCTAGCGCCACGTGACTGCCACTGTCATAATACTGCCCCTTCCTTAGTATTGTTCGTCCCGAACAATAGCCACTTACATTAAACAATAAACCAATAAACAATTAACAATAACTTAATTAAATGTACAGAATTTACAAACACAAAATTAAAATTCAACAAAGTCTCTTAATTTTACGGGATGTATCTTCTTCCGTACTGGTCTCCATCTCGTTGGCTTTGGCTTCATGTGGGGTTTATCTGCTTCATCAGGAAACGTCCTATCATTAGTAACAGTCACATCAGTGGTAGTAACTTCATCAAGGGCTTTCCCTTCTCAAAACTGAGTAGAGTTTCTTCTTCGACAGTGGCTTTTTCAGGTGACACGTCTTCAGCAGCGTTATTTGTTCCATTGTTCACTTCATCCCAGCTGAAAGGTCCTGGACCGTGATAACGCCAAAGCCTGTTGGCATGTACTACATTTGGCTTACCTCGCCGACCACATATTATCCAGAAAGTCACGTCTGAGAGACGATCCACTATGTCATATGGGCCTTCCCATGGAGAAGACAACTTAGGAGACTTTCCTTTGGACTTTCTGGGATTATACAACCACACCGTGTCTCCTGGTACAAAGCTGACTTCAGTAGATCTCTTATCATAAGATAACTTCATCGAATCAGCAGACGTTTTCAAGTTTTAATGCACTTGATGGTGAATATCATTCATCCTTTCCGATAACACTTTCCAAACTCCGACACATTTTCAGGCAACTCTTCATAAGGTGGGCGTCCTGTTAACAGATCCACTGGCAACCAAAGTTCCCGACCAAACATCAACTTTGCTGAAGTGTATCCAGTGGCTTCATGCTCTGCTGTCCTATAGGCCATCAAAAGTGGAGGGAGTAAGACATCCCAGTCTACTTGGCAGCTATTACAAAACTTTGCCAATTCCTGTCCCAGTGTCCAGTTGTACTTTTCTACCATCCCATCGGACTGTGGGTGAAGTGGCATTGTCCTGGTCTTTCAGATGCCAAACAACTTGCAGCATTCTTGGAACACAGCTGATTTACGGCCTTGATTTGAATGCAGTTCATATGGCATACCAAATCTGAAGAAGAAATCACTAATAGCTAAAGCTGCAGTTGTAGCTTCCTGATTTGGTATTGCATATGCCTCAGGCCACTTGGTGAAATAATCCATCACCACACAAATGTACTTGTTTTCAGCATGAGTTTGGGGCAGGGGACCAGCAATGTCAATGGCTACTCTTTCCATTGGTGCACCAACTTGATATAACTTCATTGGATCGCATCCCTTATGCTTGGCTCTCCTTTTAGCACAACATGTACTGCATGTCCTGCACCATTCTTCCACATCTTGTCTCATACTTATCCAGTAAAATCTTTGGCGTAGGTGACTCAATTTCTTAATTCCGAGGTGTCCTCTTGCTAAATTATCAT